TGAAGTGTTGGTCTATATCAAGACATATCGCACACCCACACTCTATGATTTAGACATTACTTTGACCTTATGTTGGAATTCAATTGCAAAAAAACGAACTTATCGAATGAGTACAATTCATGGACTTAATTCAAGTTAGAATGAAGAACTATGTATTCCTTCTCAAATACTTATTTATTAATTTTAAACCAAAAATTCAAGTTGAACAGATGCCTTATCATAAAGTGATAACCATTTATGTGAACAAATTTCTTGTTCATTAACATATTGACAAAATTTCCATATCCATTCATATTTTTCATTTGAATCATATTGTTGAATGAAATGTACAGTTAATTTTTGTTGAAAACGATTAAATTCTAATAACCATTGTTGACCATCACGTGTAAATAATGTTGCTTGTTGTTTATCTGATATAATTTTACCCCATAAAACAAATTTGAATGCATTAAGAGAATAACTTTTTTCAATATCATACATTGGAATTAAAGAATTTTGTTCAATATAAATTGGTATACGATAAAGACTACTTGTATCTTCTTTAATAAATGTATGGGATTTATGTATAATTGATGTATTAAAATAATTAATCCATTGATTTGTTGTACTTTTTGGTAACCATAAACGTTGTGTTTGACCAGGTGTTGGATCTTGTAAAACTGGTACAACATATATATTTGAGCCAAGAAAATATGAATGACTAAATAATGCTTCAATATCATCACATGGTTGCATTAATGTACCATTTCGTCCAAGTGCTACCTTTGTACCTTCACTATAAAGATAAGGTACAAGTTTGTAATGTAAATTAACCCATGATCGATAAATATCAGTTGTTTCATTATCAAAATTCCATGGCAAATGTTCACCACCACCACCGTTTTCCATAAATGAACTTAATGCACCTATAGCTGTCCAACGAAGAAATAATTCTTTTGTACGACCTAATATACCAGCTTTAGGATCAGTTCGATAACCACCAATATCCGAACCAAAACCAACATAACCACGGCGACCACTTTCAAGCATATAACGAAGAGCTGTTTTTAATCCATTATATGTACCATCTTCATCACCGACCCAACCAATAAAAACAATATCACGTGGACTATAATCGAGATCACTATCAACTGGACGCGACATAATTAAAGCATCTGGACCAATTAACCGACGTAAAATTTGAAATGTATCATTATAATAAGCTGTACGATAACGTTCCCATGTTACGCGAGGATCAAGTACTTCAATTATATATGGATCAGTACCATCAGCCTATAAAAAAAAAAAACATCAATATGAATCAATTTTTGTTTATTCAATCAGATCACATGTCTTTTTTATTAGTCTATATGTAGATTTTAGAGATTACAGAAGATATATGGATAAAACCAGTGAAAGCGAGACAAGACGGCCGTGAGTTTGACTTTTTGAACAAGTTCTTTTCTCATGAATACAAGGAGAAAACTATTAGCTCTTTCATCTTGCATCTAATCAAACTGAGTTAATAAATAATTTTCTAAGGCTTATAATGAAAAATTGGTGGAACTTTCGGCAAGATCGGATTCGAAAGAATTGTTTTTCTAAAACCATTTTTCACAAGTCTGTCCTTATCTCAGAACGAAACGTGTTCTTTTGATATCATCCCACAATGACCAAGAAAGATTTGTACTATTTAGAATTGAACTTTTTTTTTTCACTTCTCATTCAGTTATAAAAGAGATTTTCATTTCTATATTCGTTCTTACTGACGTCACTAGTAACGAATACATACGTTCAATCTTTTGTAAAACTTAAGTATGCTCAGAAAAAAACTTCGTGTAGAGATTTTATAGTCTAAAGAGTCCTCAACAAAATACACTATTGAGTTTTGAAGATTCTATTTGAACGAGCAGAATTCGTAAATAGAAACGTACATAACGAAAATCTTTGACCTTTTTTGAGTCATCTCGCTAACGCTGGTTTTTTCAATAGTAATCCAATGAAACCAAAATGTATAGGACCGAGCTTTTCAGGACATATTGAAGATTTCAACATACACCTATTACATATAAGTTAGTTAAAAGAAATGCTTGAATTTAGAGATATAAGCATTTTTTTGGTATCATGTCGTTAACAAATAAATTTGTGCATATACAGTTCTACAGATATTCTATAAGATTTGATTTCCCCGAAAAATCTCGGATTCACATGTTTATACTTTTGGTATATAAATGTACATATTATCTCTATACCTATATTATATACGTAGGTTATGATTTTATCTTCTGCGTAGCCAAACTTTTTTATTCTAATATCTGAAATGATTGATGTTCAACATTGATATTCTCTCCTCGAAGTTTTTAAATAACTGGTGTTAGACTCGAATAAAATATGTCCAAAAACATATCAGTTTGATGAATGTGTATTGAAACGATCTAATACATTTATAGTTAATCATATCATATAATTAAAAGACATTTAATATCAAATATTGTCATACTTTAAATGCATGAATAGGTCCAACTGTATCTATGAGTTGTTCAATTTGACTATGCCACCAATTAACAGCTTCTGCATTAAAATAATTTAATAAGCGTCCTTGTCCAAGCCACCATTTAATTGTTTTATTAAATAAATAACCATGTTCTTGTGCATATTGATAATTAGGTGAATCAATATTAATCATTGATGTCATCCATAAGACAATATGAATATTTTTTTCACGAAATTTATCAAGCAAATTTCGTATTGTTGGAAATTTTGTTGAATCAAATACAAATGTGTTAAAATTTGTTGCCCAATTAGCATCTATATTAACAATACCAAATCGAATATTATGATTAATATAATCATTGAACATATTTTGTATATCTATTTGATTTGTATGAGAATCGTGTAACCAAACCATATGATAATGTGCCCATTCTGCATATGGTAATGATTCTGGTACGACAAAAACGAAAGGAGAAAATAAAAGAATAATTAATAATACTAACATGATAATTTTAAAATAAAAAATGATATGCGAAAGTTTACAGTAGTCTTTAAATGAAAGTTGAGATGAGAATAATAACATCTGGCTTGGTTTCTTTTTGTTATCATAAAGGCCATCGGATATTAATTCTGATGCAAATTCACTACGACATTGTTGTGATATACTTTATATTAATATTTTTGATGAAATTTCTGTTAATCTGCCAAAAACAGATCAAGAATATGTTATACAAAGTTGTCTTGAATCAATTCAAGTCCTATTTAGCAATAGTTATGTTATGGATCAGTAATGAAAAACAAAAGAAAAATTTGTTCTTTTTTTTTAAGTAAAGAAAATATTTTTGAGACTGTGAATGTGAGTGTCGGTGTACAGATGGATGGATACCACTAAAGAGAAGACAGATACTTATACTCACACTTATTGGTCTCATAAATATTCATACCCATGTAACCATGAAACGCTTTTTTGACGCGTTTAAACGCGTCTCAGAATTGAAACTGCCTCCAAACGCACAGAAACGCGTTCACCATATGGATGTTTGAACGCGTTGCAAAGTTTTGCTTGCGTTTAGACGCGTTTCGCAATTAGGATGCATCAAAACTATTATCGGAATTTTTAAAGAAGGCGCGTGGAAGAAAAGCTTATAACTTTTGAATCGAAAGTCATAGCGACCTGCAGTTTTCAGGGTTCAATAGACGACAGTCGGGGACACATGTCAATGCGGGAAAATGGTTTTCGGAAGCACTTTTTCAGACCAGTTTTAGTCTACGAAATTAAGGACAAATTAACAATTTTTTTCGAGGGGATTTTTTTGCCAGGTTTTCACCTGACATGCTCTCTTTACATTGGTATCTAAGCGATTTCTAGATTTCGCTTTCCTGAAAGACCAGAGATCTTTCAAGAGAGCAATTTCATGAAAGACACTTTTCGCTGAAAAGCGAAAAAATACTCCGAATATAGGTTTTTGATTATGCTAATCAACATGAAAGAGTTTATTCCCTTTAAAATCTAGGGCTTCAAATGTGATATCTCCCTCT